AAAAAAAAAAAAAAAAAAAAAAAAAAAAAAAACTTTAAGAAAACATTTTTGGAAAAGGCTCAGTGGCATGCAGGTATGCAAAATGTAATTAAGTTTCTACATCATCTTTCGTAAATTTTAAATTATTCGGGTTGTTATTTTTACGTAAAGTTTACCTCAAAATTGCTCAACAGGCTCCAAAAAATACACATAAAGTATCAAAGCATCATATTTGCTTGGTTCTCCAATAAAAAAAATGAAAACTGAAAAGAAATTTGATGCCATGGCTTTTACGATAAAATAGCTAATTGCATGAAGATGCTGCAACTATTGCACTGCCGAAGTTATTTTTGGAATGCAAAGCAAACAATTTCATCGGAAATATGATCAATTGAAAGGAGATTCAATTGACTCGGTTATTGAACTGGAATATTCTAACATTCTGCGCTGAGAACTCACTGACGCCTAGGCTCGTGCGTTTGGTCGCAGATGCATTAATCAATGGAACTGAATTGAGAGAAAGTCTTATTGCATCGTTCAAATCATACGCAATATGATTTCAGCCTTCATTTTTCCGTTTTTATATTTTGAAAATTATCCGCTGAGGTCATAAAGAACAAATATTTCTTTTGAAAATTCGGTACTACGAGTCAATAATGTTTGAAAAAATAGCCCAGTAAAATACAAACATTTTCTCGTAGCAAAGACGAGGTGAGAAGTAAATGAAACGTCTGAAAGTAGTTGACACATCGGGAGGTGTCACGAGGTGTGCGGGTGGTTTCCCACTATGTTCGCAGGCGCTACATGCTGTCCCGCAAATACGATAATTCCTTCTCAGGCAGTTTTCTACCTCATTGTGAGCGCGGGTGTTTTACTTGGTGGCGTGACATGAATTGCGATATATCGATTGCTTTACCTTTTAAAACCTATGGTAAAGAATCGATTATCAAGGTGTTCGCTGCGAACACCTTGATAATTTATCGATTATTTTCCATAGGTTTAAATGGCATAACAATCGATATATCGAAAAGCACGCCACGCCACTGGTTTTACTATGCTTATGTTCAAAAATATATACGTCAAATTTACTTAGATTCGAAGATTCTCCATCCCTGAGGGTCACTGTCAAAACGTTAAAATTAGTCGACCAACCGTAGAGTTATGATCAAAATAATTTGAAGCACTTCCGTCGTGGTGTGAGAATTGTAGGCATATTTTTCCTCTAACAATGTCAGTTCAACTTAACACTTCGGTATGGAATGCATCGTTGAATGACTTATATTTATCGATCTGTATCTGTGCCAAATACCAAGTTGAAAATACCTGGTACTAGACGAATTGAGGTGAATGTTTGACAGGTTATTTTTACCAGGGCAGCAGAGTTGGACACTTGGACAGCTTAAGAGATCTATTTGTCATAAAAATTCGTGACCGTCTCGTCGACAACAATTGCATTTTACACTCTACTACAAAGCACCCATCACTATGATGGTTACTTCGGAGTCTTAAATCAAAATTTTTGACTCGCCTGGGAATTTTATATCCACGTTTAAAATCTTAATCCCAGTTTCAACCTTCAATGTAACTTTCAATTACAAGAGAGAATAGTAACTTTCAATATCTTTGCCATTTCAGCGAGGCATTTGGCACTTATTCAGGTTGATAAATATAAGTCATTTGCGGATGAGGCATTCCAGACCTGATTGTTGATCCACATTGACATTGACGATGTGTTGATTCCCGACCTAGGTCAACATTTGTGCCAAACTAGATTTACTCTTGGATTGGTTTTATTTCACTACCCATATCCGTTATGGGACTCAGTTTTTGTGAATTTTAGAAACTTGCATCACGAGGAAATGAGATTTGGATTTCGTCGAATAGAAAGATGATTTGCAAACATGTTCAAAATTAACTTTATATTTATATAGTGCATAAATTCACACTTGAAAGTTAAATTGATGTGAGTTCAACCTTGCCTCCTCTTGTGCCTTCGCTATTTTCAGAGACAGAGAACTATAAGTATTAAAATAAATTATCGGGCACTATAATTGCGTTTTATTGGATACAGAAATATGCATAAATATTAGCTTTTTTTGAATGAAGGCAAAAATATACTGCAAGATTCCTCTCCCAAATGTGACGTTCAGATTGCATGTACTTCTTAAACTTCTTTAAATGTATAATAACAAAGCGTTTGAGGTCTCCATTGAAATGTGCTCTATTTGAATAATATTGATAAGAACTCAGCAATGCAATCCAGCTGCTGCTAACTTGACAGTATTAATCCAATTTTCTTATTCCCTTCCTGGCAGGCTTTTAAATCTGCCAGATCTAAATCCAGATCCTTTCAAACTTCTTAAAATATTGTTCCCATGCAGAGAATTTTTTGCTTATTCCTAAAGTAAAAATTTTAAATAATAGAAAAATTCTGGAAATGTTTCATCCTCAAGAGAAGTCGTGCGTATTAGTGTTAAACCTTTAAAATTGTTAATCTGTAGGTTATTTTTCGTAATTAACTCTTTCTTTGATTTTTATGACTCATATCGTATGGTCCTAATCACTTGTACCTTGAAATTTTAAACATAAGATCTTTGCTTCACTTGCCTCACCTTTTTACACCGAAAAAAAGTGAAGTTGATTTAACATTCTGGATGTAAAAAAGATGCGCGAGAACTTAAAAAATGTTGAACCACTCGCGACAGCAGTTATACTTTGGCAAGGATGTAAAATTAACCGATAAGGCGAGTAATTCAGCATCTCATAAGTTCTCGCACACTTTTTTTTACATCCAGAATGTTAAATCAACTTCATTTTTTTTCGGTGTAACGCATTTAATTTAATCTGAGGTGGTTTTTGAACTCGGTGCAATCCAAAGAAAAAGCCTTTGGTCGGCTCTGCCCTTTTACGATACTAACTGCCGTTTCCAGGGGTCGAAGTCGGAAGTTACAGTTTTGGCAACCGGAGCCGTCAGTGCCTTTACCAGCTCACTGAGCGGTCACAGCTCTTAGATACACAACCTACGGCCTCTGAACCACAAAAGCCGTAAGTATGGATTTCAGACCTGAAGTGCGGATATCGATGGTAAAGTCAACTTATTCCGATTTTCATCCTGACCTCTGATGTCCTGGCGTTTTCAATACTTCTATTTTTTTTTTTTTGTATTACTCTATGATTTTGAACAACTTCAGATAGGTTTTCCGGTGCCCTTCCCCTCCCCATCGTTTTATTTATTTATTTATTAGATGCTTTGGAGCTGAATAAATTCTATTTTCTACTGCTATTTATTTATTTCAATTTATTTTTGCACCCTTTTTTTCTTGACCTCCCAAAGTATGTTCCACTTCAATTCAGGTGCCTTATAGCCAAAAGGTCCGAATAAATTGACTATACTACAACTATTTATTTTTTTGATTTTTTAATTTTTATATGAAATAAAGAATAGTAAAACATACTGCAAATATGTAAGAGAAGAAATTACCAAGTCATGTATCTTAAAATAAGAAATGAAAATAAAAAGTAAGAATGACATTGTATTAAACTAAAATTTAGAAAAATTTTAGCTAGAAGTGGCAACCTAGAAATTATTTCGATTCTCCGTCTTCAAAGCAAGTCTAGTTCCAGCAGATCATATGTGAGGAAAGTTACGAGCTACAAGGAGGAAGCATTTTGTCAAACAAAAACATCTTTCCAAATAATTTCATCGCGGCGCATTAATATATAGTCCAATTCCCTTTTGACTTGGAAAAAAGAATAAAAAAAATTCAATTCCATCTCACACTCGACGTAAGGACGTATTGTCCAGCTCCGCTTTCAACGGAATTGCTCGAAACATCATTCATCCTCGAGATAAAATCCGAGTTCATCGATTGGAAGGAACAGAACTTACCGTTCGCTGATGGATAGCGTCCTTGAAGCCAGCCGGACTCAAAACACAAAAGCACTTGAAACAGAGTCAGGAGATAAACTTAAGTCCAGGGATTGTAAACAACTAGCGAGGATGGTACTCGTATCTCGCCCGACTTGGGCACAACAAAACCACGGCACTCAGATGCAACTATGTTTACTGAGGTGAGATTCTTCAGAGATCGACCGCTGCCCCTGCTAATGATGCAGCCCTGCGTTACAAACTCATGGGGCAAAAAACAATATTTCCACGGATGTTCCGTGGGAGCATTTTCAATACTCGTCGATGTTGTGACTCTGTAGGGATGGGTAATTTTAGAAATCACGGAGACTACGCGCCAACTCTTTCCGACGACGACCCCCCTCCCCCCTCCGGTCGTCACGCACAACAACTACTATTAATGGGGACGGTCCACAACGTCCCTTTGCTCGAACGTGTAATAAAGTAAACATTTCGAACACGCCTTGTACCCCACGTTGGATTCGCCGATGCTCTCGTCAAACATAAAAACATATAATGCTCCAGTACTGCCGTGATAGCGAAGAGAGCAGTAAGTGTCAACTCTTCGAAATCGGGGCTCCTTCAAAATTCGTCTAATCTCTTTTACATGAAATCACTGAAATGGCTAAAACAGCTTAATTCATCTTAATTGTATCAAAATGAGACATATGAGAGAGCCGAAAATGCGCAAAAAATGACGTGGTATCAGGCAAAACAGTAGGGAGTGACATTATTTCTCCAGAGAGCCAATGAAAACAGTGCTTTCAAGTAAATTGACACCCTCCACTGCCAATTTCTAACCTGATAATGTGTATTAATGTGCGTTTGTTGTGTGTCCAAAACGCAACCACGGAAGCACATGGAAGATATCACTTACGGCTGTCTAACACTAGCCTAACATAAAAATGAATAAAACCCCTTTCATGGAATTGAAATGTAATAAATTGGTCAATTTTTAATCATCCAAACAAGAGTCATAAGAGTCTAAGAGTCATTCGGAAGTTTAGAAGCAATTTAACAAAAAATGGAGGTTTCTTTCAATACAATTTTCCGGTTAGACGCCTCTGAGCCCATTTTCTCAAAACTTCATTTTTGCACCTACTGCTCTTTTCGGAAATCACGGCAGAGTAAACAAGGTACGAATTCAAGCATTCTGACACATGTTCCTAGACCAAAATTGCACGCAAACCACGATTTACGAAACGAAAAGTATTGAAACTAACACCTGACGATACTGTTTCATATTTCTGGATGCACAGATTCAAACTTCCCGCTCATGAAAAAACAATAATCTGCAAAAGTCAAACCGCGCTCTTAGCGTCACCATAATAATAGTTTTTGCAGCATGAAAATATGACAACCTCAATCTCGGTGCTTTGGCTCGAATGATGCACGTTGTTAACACTTTGAACAAAGGCAGGAAAAGAGTATTGTTTGGTTCAGAAGCCCTCCAAACCCGTTTTAGTGCGCGATTTGATTAAAGTAGGCTATTATTTTTCTTCTGAGCAGGGAATTTGAATGTCATGTGACCAATTAAGACCTGAGACGTTAACCCCTTGGTCCAGAGTTGATTTCGGTAATTTTCGTTGGGCGAATCGTTTTTTGCGTAAAATTTCGGTTAGGAAACAAATATCAGAATTCTTAATCTTTTACTGGTCCATTGTTGATTGAAACATTGTGTGAATGATAACATGAACTGCATTTTGCAATTTGGACCTAAAAATTCTGGTTCATCTGAAAAAACACTTATGTGCATAGGGAAGCTAATGGCACATGCGTTGTTTTTAAACCGGGCCGGAATTTATAGGTCCAAATTGCAAAATGCAGTCCAGATCATGTCTCCATTAGTATCACTGGTAAAAGCGCGTAACAAAACGTCGCTGCTCCAACGCACAATGGATCGAGTCAATGAGGGAAGTCGGATAAAATTTGGAAACTTTGAAAGCTCATAACTCCGTTCATACAAAACTTTAAGGTTTTAAAAGTGGCTCCATCGGTTACCTCGTGACATTTTCTCCAAAAGACACCCCTTAATCTTTAAGATGTTTACTCTTGAGAAGGAAAGAGGCATGAAAAGTTGCAGAATCCCCAGCAACCATCCGCGTCGGTCACCGGTCAACGATGCATCTTCTTTTCAACAACAATAACGCTACCCTTATATACTACTTATTTCCGACTGTATTGCAACCGCTCAGGTGGCCCAGTGGGTAGAGCACTCGTCTATTGAAGTGAGGATGCCGCGTTCGGTTCCCGTCTCCGGACATTTTTTTTTTTTTTTTTTCCAATCTGTAAAATCCCCCAATCATGATTCTTCGTCCAAATAAGTCACAAAACTCATTTTTACAACAATTAATTTAATATTGAAAATAGTTAGCTCAATCAGCGACTTTTACTGACTTAGCGGTTAGGTCTAAACTCATTTTTACAACAATTAATTTAATATTGAAAATAGTTAGCTCAATCAGCGACTTTTACTGACTTAGCGGTTCGGTTCGGTTAGGTTAGGTTAGGTTAGGTTAGGTTAGGTCATCAGCTCTTTAATAAATTAGTGGCATTCTGTTCAACTAATGTTTTTCAACAAAAAAAAAATTAATGTTTCACTCAACTTAAATTTTTTTAATATCCGACTTTAAAAATTACAATCCTACTGTTTTTTTCGAAATTCCCGCGCTAATCTACGAGATAGCATCCGAATAGTCAATGGTCATCGGTCGATTACCGGTGCGCTCGTGGCAACTTTTCAACGCCTCTTTCCTTCTCAAAGTGCTTAATCAAAATTTAAAGTGTGACAAATTAAACATCAATATTTGCAGTTTTAGTTGAAAATTCCTCGTCCGACCTCTCTGATTGACTCGATCCACTGTGTGACATTAGGGTTTATCTCTATTTTCTTGAGAGCCCCATATCGACGGTGAAACTACCAAACCACGTATCTCGGTTTGCGACGTCGCAGACTTCCTGTCATACTTTATTTTTTACATGAAAAACTACTCAACGTCCAGTCTTGAAAATTTCTGTGATTTTTCCTCTTCGTGCGGAGAAAATTCTGGAAAAATTTCAAGGAATGATATTGATTTGGTCTACTTCAAAAAAATAAAATGCGAGCGTAGATTTTTAAACACCGCAAACGAGATACGTGGTTTAGTAATTTCACCGTCGATATACAATAGAGTTATACAGAGGACAGAGCTCAGGTGGAAATTAAGATACGCTTTTACGTCGGAATAAGATTTAATGATCTGCTCTTGTTTTCAACGGAACACTCAAAAATCGTTCATCCTAGAAGTAAAGTCCGTGCTCATCGATGGTATGAAACATAACTCATCGTTTGCTTATAGCGTATGAGCGTTATTAGCGTTGATGATTTCAACCATATATTTACTGATTTTGGTGTCAATCAGAAGTGAAGTTGCACCATCAAGAGGTATGGTTGAGTTAGCCAGAAATGCCGGTTGACTCAACTATACCCCTGCTTATTGTTAGTGCGCCTGGTGTAACTTTTACTGAAGTTTGGTTGTACATCATTGATTCAAGTTCGAGATTGTAGTACATTTCTGTTTGGCGGGTTTTCACCAAATATCAAAATCAGATATTGAATCCCCTCGAAAAATAAAAGCTTTTATGTTGTTTTTCAAGGGTAACGTATACAACTAGGTTTATGGATGATCAATTTAAACTCACCCCTGCTTCGTTATTGCCTTGACTGATCTAAATTTTTAGTGTGTTCATCCCTGATATTTGATGAAAATTTCAGGAAATTTTAAACCCGTAAAATATTTCTGACTATGTGGCAGCGTTTCTTATATTGCGAGCTTCATAATAGCGGATTCGGTGATAAGGTGAAGGTATCGATTGGGTGGAAGCTCCTGCAGTTTTAAATAAATGATCAATCTGAGAGTTTTTGACAGTTAGATGCTTAGTTTAACAGTTTCTGATGATGTTGCCAGTCTTACGATTTAAATCTTGTGAAAATGACCCGCATCGCATTACTACTTCAAGCAGTAGGTTTTCTTTAAGAGAGAAAAAATGATATGTTTTCAGTAATAACAGAACTACTTCAACACAATACATAGTATCAGGAATTAAGGCAGAATAAATGATCCTAAAACGTTCGAGATAAAGATTGTAATTACTTTTGAGGACACAATTTTTTTTTTTTAAAAAACTAACCAGGAAACATTTACTTGCAAAATTGGATTTGCACATATACATATAATATCACAAAAAATGGTGAATAATCACCAACCGGAAGTGTATTAAAACATTTTTGATCTGAGAAAATCGTTCCTCATTTTACGGAAATGACATTAAATTATTTTAATAAAATATTGGAGCAGACTTGCTTACAGCTCTAGCTTTTATGAGAAAAATTCCAGAATGTAGAGGAGCTGGTGATGCCTTCATTAAATGGTATATCCTTTACAAAATTTAAGTTCTGACCCAGAAATCAAGGTCGTTGTCACTTTCTCTGACTCCAAAACCTGTGAACACAAAAATTCCGGTATTGATTATTATAAGTGTGTCAGTTCCAAAATGGAGAAAAGAAGAAAATGGCCGGGGCATGAATTCAAGAAAAATTCAATACGAGTACCTCTGGCATACAATATGCTGGTAGGCTTGTGCCACTTCACTTCAATATTGTAGCAATTCAAACGTTTTCTCTAACACATCTCCTCCCCAATATTCTCGGAATGCAATGGAAATAAAATAATTTGAGAGAAAATAAGATTGCAACATTATTATCGTAAACTTGCACGATCCTAGTACATGGAATATGCTTACTTGCGATCAAGTTCAGTGGCGTGGCGTAAATGATCGATTATCGATATTTCCCCCATTTGTAGCTATGGTAAAGAATCGATCATTACAGTGTTCGCTGCAAATACCCTGTTAATCGATCTTTTTCCATAGGTTTAAATGTCAGATCAATCGATACATCGTAAAGCACGCCACGCCACTGATCGGATTGAATTAAGCTCAAAATCTCATAAACAAGACCCGTTTGACAACAAACTCTACAATTTTTCAGGGGTGGACAATACAGCTTTAAAATATGCAAATGGCTCAATTTGTTTGTGATTACTTTTTCTTTGAGAGAAAGGGGAATGACCGAGAGAGAAATTTGCTCTAAATTACTGGCGCAAAATTTGTTATTTTTATGCAAAATTTTTGACTGAAGCCCTAGAAATAAAATATTTTTAAAGAAAATATCAACACTGAGTAACGTAAAGATCAACAGAAGCAGAAAAAATTCTTACAACTCTGGGAACTTAAAAGTTGCTGAACTTTCTGTTGCCTAGCGTCACAGAATAGGCATAGGTTGAGAAGATTGTTCCAGACGTATGGCAAAAAGTTAGTCGCGGAATCGAAAAAAAAACTCGTCGCCGAATGCGAGCACAGCTGGCGGTGACGCACGCGGGTGAAACCTCATTTTTGCAACATCGGCGTTAACGTCTGCAGCGTTAGCCATTTTTTGCATTTCTCAGAGATCCATGAATCATGCTTAACGATCGTCAGGGTTCCGAGCCTAAACTCGGGACGTGAGATCTGACTCTCACCCGCACTGCGATTGATATCTGGATCCCTGGTTTGTTGGGCTGGAAACCTTCCTCAAGGTGCACGGAAAAAAATGAGGTTGGTAATTTTAACAATTTTGTAGTTAACAATAGTGTCCGACGTGTTTCAATGTAAATTTTAGAATAAAACAATGATAATTTAATCCACCCTAGGAGTTAAATTAGCTTCCCACCACTGTAAAATGTACATTTGAAAAATGTCGGACATATTTTTCCACAATTCAACTGTTAAATCAGCTATCCATTTTTTTTTCGTGTGCAACACATTTTGAGTGGGAGAGGGAGCTCTGTATCCCCTTGTTATCTAGGCCTAAGCAAGCATATTTCACTTCCGATTTTAAAAAAGAGCACCATGAGATTTTTTTTTGAGCTAACGAGTTCTCTTCGGAGAAAGTCAGTGGCACCATCCTGTTTCTCGCAAAATGCATTAGAAAAAATACTTAAAAATAAATCGCAAATTCCTAAAAAGGTCCATTCACCATACTTGCTGTAGAGCTTACCATACTCTTCCCTCGGTGCGTTAACTTTAGTCACATTAAGTATACCTACAGTCAATGGAACACCAGACAAGGTCTGAACTCGAAGTAAACATCATGTTTCCTCTTCAAAATCTTACAACGGGAAGTTCGGAAGTCATCTCTTGAACGAGATATTAACATATATTTTTGACACAGATCAAATAGAAATTGGATTACACAAGTACCGTCGTTCGTGCGTTTGTCATTAAACTTATGTCAATTGAAAACACTTATACCTTTTTCAAGAGTTTATTTTCAAACTTCTCGTTGTCTGATTCGTTTTCCACGTGAACTTTTGAGGGGAAAACATGTATCGTTGTGTCCCATACCTGTGTATTCATACCTTGTTGTGTATTGTACCCGCTGTGTATTCATACCTTAACTGGACTTCAATTTAGAAACAAATCCTGTTAGGCCTAACAACATAGTGCTAGAAAAATAGTGCTGGGTCAACACTAGTTTTCGTAGGAAGCAAGGCCAACAATTTCAATCAGAGTATCAGGCTCGTACTGACCATAAGGCCAATTTGCCATTGGCAGATACGCCCCCTTGATGCGCCGAAAACGCGCCCCTCTGACAGATAGCAAAATAAGAAGAGAAAAACAAAATTACGACCGAGAATATATGCGGAAAATGTCTAAAATGAACGGAAAAAGAGAGAGTAAGGAGTAAAGAAAGGTGCTTTTACGTATGATAGTGGTGAACAGAGGTCCAAGAACTAATTTCTGAAGCGCAAATATTACTGTCTGTGAAATGGTTACCTTTTTGTTGACATACAGGTGCTTTATTATGCCCCTCCTTCACTCGCTATGTGTAACTCCCTTAGAAGCGTTGGTCGGTTCGATTTTCAGACGTATACGCATCCTTTATAGACCTCATGAGAGACCTTTATACTTATTTCTTCCTTTTCAAAATGACTATTGATATGGACATACCATAGCGTATCTCGAGCAAACTCAACCTTACTCTATCTCGAAATTAAAAAATAAGAGACATCTAAAATGTAAACGCGATACAACTATTCACGCAAGATGGATGTCTTCATTTCATATGAAAAATGTAAGACGCGATGGCGTGAGTCGTGAACTCGCAATGCTCTGCTCTAGTTTGAAGAATCATTACGAATATGATAAACGCAAACAAACACAATGTGGAAATAAAGCGAGAGAAAAGATGCACGTTAACGACGGCGCAGAGATACAACTATTCGTACTTGATGGACGTCCGTGCTGCATCTGAAAAATTGAAGGCGCGATGACGCGAAGAGTAAGCTCTAAATACTCAGCTATATGCTGTTGATGAGGTGTCGCTCAGATTCGGGAGAAAAGTTTAAAAAGAGGCCTGAACACATCTCTTCTACCTTCGGCTGTGTTACTTTAGTAGTACTTGAAGCACCATTATGAATAAGACAAACGGAAACAAACACAATATGTGAATAGAGGGAGGGAAAGGATGCGCGTTTACGACGGCGCAGAGATACAACTATTCGTACTTGATGGACGTCCATGCTGCACCTGAAAAATTGAAGGCACGATGACGCAAAGCATGAGTTCTCAATGCTCTGCTATATACTGTCAATGAGCTGTTTCGGAAGAAAAGTTAAAAAAGAGGCCCGAATACATCTGTTCTGTCTTCGGCTGTGTTGATACTCGTTATCTTTTTTCAGTTTCTTGTCTGATTCTTTTTTAGGATAGATTTGCAGACCCACGTCTTAAGCTCGTGTAAACCACAGCAGTACTGGCTCGGTTCTTTTAGAAATAACGGTGCTTGGATGTGTCTAGTGGCTTTAACTTTTCATGTTTTCTTAATTTCATAAGTCTGCCGGTTACTTCAATACGTTCAATTTTGCAATTTTTACTCTGTACGATTAAAAAACTTTGAGTCTGAAAATAGCGTAAACTTGTGCTGCTTTGCCAAAATTTTCTGAACCCCTCTCCACGTGGGGTAGATGCCCTACCAGGAAATATTACATTACACCCCTTTAAACAGCTAAGGGTCCACGCCCTCAGATGCGAGCCAGTCCGACCCTGCAGAGTATGCAATTTAAGAACAAATGAGTATCGGTACCAGACCGGGGGTGCTCAGGCCTTGGTGCACACGCCACCTCTTGCGGGTCGATTGTTCAATGGATTGTTCATCGATAAAAAACATTGCTAAGATAGGGATTTATCGATATTGAATGACCATGATCGATAAAAAAACATTGCTAGGATAGGATTTATCGATCAGGATCATTCAAGAAATATTCAAATATCGACTCGCAGGGCACTCTCCTCTGACATCCCTGCACTGATACTCATTGGAGTCCGAATGTTTAACTCAAATTGAAATTTTTGGAATTTTATGGCGTTGCTCTCCCCGTAAAATAGTGTGGTCCCAGCATTATGTTACTATCCTCATACTTTACGGAAAACAGACCAGCTTTTTGGGGAAGAAAATGAGAAAATTTGCTTGTAAAATGCAGAGTCCCTTTATACTGAGGGTTAAGACAATGTGAATCAATTTCTGATTGGTTCCCATACTTTAGGCCTCCACAGTGTCACAAATGGGAATAAAGATTACATTTTCACCAATGGCAAATATTATTCTCTGGAATGGACCGGGGAATCACGGGTTCGTTAAGGAACAAACGAAATGAGAGAAGGAACAGAGAAAGGAATTTGAGAATCGAGAGATCAAAGATTACGAAAAACTTTCAATTTGTGTAATCTTTATTCCTGTTTGTAACTCCATGAGGGGGGTTTTCTGAACTCTCAGTGTAAAGGGACTCTAGTAAAATGAAGAAACTTACTTTGAAATTAGGGTATTGGGAGCGCAAGAGCAGCACTACATGCTGCCATACATGATCCGAAGGCGCTGTTACAAGCCGCCAAGGCAGGGACGGCTGCAATTTGGGATCCAGGGACGGTGCCGAATGTGAATCCTGCCGCACTGAAACAGGCGACCACCACACCGGCGCAACCCGCGTAACATATTCCTGCCCCGATGGGCCCAGCCGTGGCTGTGCTCAACAGCATTGCGGCGAACGTCAAAGACAGAAGGTGTTTCATTTTTCGAATATCTAAAAAAAAAAGAAAAAAAGAATCAAGCTCTAGAGAGATTTCATTAAGGTTGTTTTCTCGCAATGGGAACTATGGATTCGATCGACATGAATCGATCAAGACGTGAAAATATGCGTCGATCAACAATTTTTTTTAAAAAGCGGTGTTGATTTAATCCCCTTGAATCGATTGAAATATAAAAACGTGGACCAATCGACTCGATTTCATCGACAATCAATTAAAAAAAAAAACAGAGTCGATTCGTTCAATATGAATCTATCGGAAACCGGCTGCTTGTTTTTTTGTTTGTTTTTGTTTTGAACAAGCGTTTTCCTACATCATATAAATGAACCATGAGACAAGGTCAGTAATCAAGTACTGCACTACCTTTTTCCTTATCAAAATTACATGTGCAGCACGATGGTCTTACTAAAAAAGAGAGGAATCAGCGTTTTACGTTCAGTTTATCTAAACTTCCCACTCGGTATGGAAACGTAAGCCTGCACTGCTGTGTTAAGGGAGAACGCCGTATGAAACTCCGTCAGTTGCCAAATTTCCTTTGATTTGATACGGATTTTCTTCAGGAATACTCGTGAATATTTTCCGTTCAATTTTACAGAGAATTTTCTTCGTAATTATATGATTTGAAAATATCAAGAAAAAGTATTCATATAGTTCTCCTCAAAAAAAAAAAAAACATTTTATTGGAGGAAATTCGGCAACTCTCGAATGTTCATACGGCGTTCTTCCTTGGCACGGCAGTGCTGGAATCAACAAAATTGATCTTTCATCTACTCAACATTCCCATTTGTAAAAGCCACGTAGTTTTTTGTCCGCATCCACAAAAATCTCTACTTTTGATTCGTATATGTATGATCTCCTTCGAAGGAATATGCCATATTACCACCAAAATTCTAAAACTCTTCACTTCTCTTAATTTAAAAATCTAAATTTTCGTTTATACTCCTATTTTCAAAATTATCTGTAAAGACGTTAATAGCCTGAGTCGCTGAATGTCTTAAAATTATAATAACTAACTAACTAACTATATTTTCAAATCCGACGTTTTATCGAAGACTCAAACAAGTCGTAAATCACTTTCTATCCGATTGAAATTCGGGATTTTTGGATGGTTTTTACGAAAAGACGCTTAGAATGCGTATGCGAGAAGTATTTATAAACTTGTATGTCATTTGATGGATGTTTCAAAGATCTCTAACGCTTGGATGCGAATATTCACCTAAAAATTTTACATTATTTCATACAAAATTCGTAGGAGAGGAGGGGATGGTAAGATTATGCAACTTCTTTTTAACTGTGAAGGGATACATACGACTTTATTGACGCTTCGCGTATCCTTAATTAAGCAATTCTCTCTGAAAAGCCTTCATTTTTAGAACGACCTTGGTCAAATATTGCCATTGGGACTCCTTGCGAATGTTAGACGTTTCCTCACGACAACTTACGATTGAATGATTGAGGATGGTTTATGCAACGATGGATGCGATGAGAAACGGGAAGAGTTTCGATGAAAATGCGTAGTTCCATCAATTTTTATATTTAAAACAGTCAAAATTGAAGGTCTTTTATCAAACACTTACGAACCCCTCCGACCATTAAAGATACAAGTTGTCTTAGGTTGGTTCTTCTAGTGAAAATCGCGCAAAATAATTGAATCGCATTTAGCAAAAGGGAACCAGCGCGATTACAGTGTTGTAGAAATGTTGCCTCTTTATAACTATCTAAAAAATCTCCCAAAATGGCAAACAGTTTTTGCTTTCCACCAAAAAATGTTAATTTTAAAGGAAAATTATTGCATGAATTTTAATCATGTACATATATTGAGTATTTTTAAAAGAAAATTAGAAGTTGCACAATTTTGAAAACAACATTTGCGCTGGCTCATTTTTGCTAAATGCGATCGAATTAGGGATATCATTAGAGAGATAAAATAATCTAAAATTCAATTGAGAACTTGAATGTCAATAGTAGAAAATACCATGCAAAGCAATATGGAAAGGATGCGGAAAATTGTGCAGATTGGCTTGAATCTCTCAAGCATCCAATCATGACTTCGGCAACGTAGAAAACCATAATCTTTAGTTGGGAACCAGATAAATGGAACCATCAATTTTGAAAACAATTGAGTCATTTTCATTCTCAACACACTTTGCAATGGGCCCATATGCGTTAAAAATGTCTTACAATTTCTACCACGTGGCCCAAGATACAGGGGTTTTTTTGCAAAAAAACACTCACTGGCAATAAACTATCGCATGGGGATTTTCCCCTGGTTTCTCAAAATTTTGAAAATGTAGCCGTGGTTCTCTGGCCCTTAACTACAGTTTTAAACTATTACGAAGAGGATTTTTTGAACTGAGCGATGAACGGGTATAAAAGGTAGACCTGAATTCATAGTAACGTTTACTTGACTCGTCAAATCTGAGATTGCCGAATGAAAGTAGTAGTCAGGACTATAAGATCTCGAGGTGTCTCGCGGATTATGCTAAAATATTAAAGATTCATACTCTTATGAAGAGGGTTTCTGAACTGAACAGTGAACGGGTATGAAACGTAGACCTGGATTCATAGTAACGTTTATGACTCACCAAAATTGGGATTGCCGGAAGAAAGTAGTAGTTAAGAGATCTCGAGGTGTATCGTGGAGTTCGCTAAAACAGACGTGGGTCGTCAAGAGACGTCCTCTGCACCGTGTACCGAAGTGGACTAATCTCTCACCCGATGCTACCTACGCATCATACCCGTGCATGTGCAGCGATCGATCTCCATTTTGGAGCGCGGAGAAAAGTAGTATCAGCAAATATCGCCAGACACCGATACCGATCGGCGACGAGAAAAACATCTCCAGAAATTCCGAGCGATAAGTTTGCGTCCTCGGTCTACGTAAAATTAAATGTAGGAAAACTGGAAAGATGTGTTGTCTGAGTGCCATGCCATGGAACGTAAGAAAGGAATGAAAGATTGGAAATCTCAGTGAAATATTTAATGAAATTTTACGAGGCTCTGAAACATTTCATATTTTTCACGAGGTTGCGAAATATTTCATATTTTTCACGAGGCTGTGTAATATTTCATATTTTTCACGAGGCTGTGAAATATTTCATATTTTTCACGAGGCTGTGAAATATTTCATATTTTTCACGAGGCTGTGAAATATTTTATATTTTTCAGAAGGCGGTGAAAAATTTCATCTTTTTCAGGGGATATCGACACTGAAACTACCAGTACCAGACCACGTCTCTCGTTTGCGGCGTTTGAAAATCTTCGCTCCCATTCTCTTTTTCGAAGGAAAACGAATCTTTTTCTTGACATTGTCACAGAGTTTTCTTCCCGTAGAGAGAATAAGACGCGGGGGTTTTTAAGAATTGACGTTGAGAAGTATTCCGTTTGAAAAATAAAGTACGACAGGAAGTTTACAACGTCGCAAACCGAGATACGTTGTCTGCTAGTTTCATCGTCGGTGCGCAACCCACACTCAAACACACAAAAATAGAAGAAAATCACGATTTTTACACTTTGCAAAACATGAAGAGGAACCGGTATTTTTCGATATCTTTCATCAATTTCTGAAATTTCGCGAAATATTTTACATGAAATTTCAAGATTTTATTTTTCATGAAATTGTGCCACCCACTGTATTGTTAAAGTTGAAGTACCTTCATAGATGAAGTCTGGCCTCTGAAGGATCGACTCACGATTGACTCAGTCATTTTAGGTTTTATGAGGCTCTTAGCGCCGTAATCATGAGGCTTGATTTTGCCTTACATCCTGGTTAAGGAAGGTTAATGCTCTTTAAAAAGGGGAAAAGAAATATGAGTAGGATCTTTTGAACGAACAAAAACGGATCAGAAATCGTGAAGTCATTGCAATAAACGGACCCGAAGGAGTTGACAAAGCGCCGAAACATGTAACTGATAATCAATTTTATTTTCAGCTCGTTTTTACGTCTAAAATATAAAGATCATGAAATGCTCTAAAAATAAAAAAGGAATGTAAATTGCGAATAAAATTCAAGCAGTTTCAATACAAAAAAGTGAGGAACGCACCAATGCCAAGGTCTAAATCGGCTGAGAGTACATAGATTTCGAAACTGAACACAACAAGAGTGGATGTCTTGACTATGAAGTTGGATAATTTTGAAGGCGCCAGGACAGTATTTCACGCCACATCCACCATTTCGTACTCTCAAATTTTGGGAATTTATGTGGAAATTTAAGTTCCTTGTTAAGAAATGTCATCTTTTATCAAGTTTCACAAGAACCAATCAAACAGAAGCGATTACTTTATCACACGATCACTAGAGCTGTACACAGTGGTAAACGATACCTTGCAATGCAAGTGCGTTGGTGCGCCTTCATTTTCGTCTGATACTGTGCAATACCTCCGTGGTGGAATAGTTGCTCGAAGCGCCTTCAAGATTGTCGCTTCGACTTGATGGCAGGATAACACGATTGACGCTGATATTACACTCTAGCGCGTGCACAGTTACACATTTTCCCATTGCTGACGGTGTGTTAAAACAACTTTTATACCTCAATTTGCGACGTTGCAAGTTATTCACTTCTTATTTTGTGCGGGTAAACGAATATGAACACTTTAAAATCTGTTTTAAATTTTCGGATGACGAAAAATGTCATTTTTTTGTTTCAATCTAGTCTATATGTATGCTTTCTTTAATAAAGCACTATGAAAAAAAAAAAAAAAATTGCAAATCTTGTGTCAGGTGTCTCCAATATGATTTTGGAAACTGTCCCTGCCGAGGGATTACTACGATACATCGCTACAACAAGTAAAAAATGCGGGGGAAAAATTCCATGTTTTGTTGGACAGTTTTTTTTTTTTTTTCAAAAATCGGGTTTTCCGAGATACGTGATTGTAAACTTTTATCGTCGGCTCGTAGTATGTTTTATTTCGACAGCGAAACTGCCAAACCACGTATCATGTTTGAGGTGTTTTAAAATCTATGCCTCCATCAGATTATTCTCATAGAGAACAGGTAAAAGCATCACTTAAATATTACAAAATTTTCCTCGCCCAGAGAAGAAAAATCACGAACGTTTCAAAAAATTGATCTCGGGTAGTTTCTCCGTAAAAAATAAATTATGACAAGAAGACTGCAACGTAGCAAACCGAGACACGTGGTTCGGATTTCACCGTCGCGTCGCGTCGATATCTTGAGTTTTATCTTACGGGAAAGTCACAAAATCTTCAAACATTATTTCTGAGAGCTTTCATTTGGCAAATTTTCGCGAACGAATATCATAGTTTTTCGTATCATATTCGACGGGTGTGCATTTTATTTTCATGATATTCGATCAGTTCGGGGGTCTGATTGGCTCTTACGATCACCAAACACCGCCATCGGTCAACTGTCACCAATTCGTTTTTCGTATGACATTCGTTCGCGAAAATTTGCCTATTGACTGAGCTCGTTTTGTTGATTTACACAGCGCGCCTGATCATGTATGAGGGAATATCCTTCGAGGTGGATGACCGTCTGATTATTGCAGCAGTCTTGAAGAATATCGGCATCATTACGAGGGAACATAAAAATATACACTTAAAAGACGGGACAGTGGTGGTCGGATAATTTTTATGTAGGTTTTTACGGAGCTCTTGATAACGTTACTGTGTTGAATGTTTATGCACATTCGTTTCCTACGCAAAACGATGCATTTCAGGTTAGATTTGTGAGCGCGTGTCAACCATTCACAAGTTCTGCGTATGCCATGACCTATGAGCATAGATCTGGAGGTGAAGGGTGGACCTGTCAACTTCAGTCGCATGCATTTCATATATGAATTACATTTTCCAATTACGAGCTGATATTTCCGGCTAAGTTTAGAAACAACGTATGTTCTATTGATTTTTCTATGCACACAGGTGTTTTCGCGGATGAGCCAGAAATTGCAGCACCTCATTGCATCAAAATGTAGTCCACTTATGCATTAAAAACAGCCAATTTGATTGCCCCTAGTCAAGTTAGTCATTTTGTAAAAACTAAACGTCAAACGCTGCGTTTGGAGCTTTCAGCGCTCGTAAGATTAAATTTAAGATCCGGATGACATTTTCAGTTTCGGTGGACATTTTGGAACTAGATATTTTAGCCTACGGCTGTAAAATAGGAGCCCGCAGTGGTGGTCTAAAATTATCCTGCGATTAACTCCGTGAAAAACGGTAATAGAACTGGGCCTAGGACTGGAATATTGTCGGTGATGGATGGAAACTTCTCTACTTAACATGATTTCTGACGCGCATGCTACCGTAGGCTACAGGAAAAGGTCGTATGAGTCACCGAAGGTTGCCAAATTTACTTTGACGAATTGTTTATTATTGAGAAACGTTATCAATAATTTTCATCACAATTTTTAGGAGAGCTTGCTCAAATTTTTCTTTTTAAAAGTAAAGTAAAATATACACCATTAACCCTGATTTTTTTCTTTTTTATATTAAAATAATTTTTTAACTACAATTGCTCAGGCGACGTTTTTCCTCAGTATAAGGACAAAAATAGAAAGAATAGCAAAATACGGAGACGAATTTTCAGTTGAACTTTCTGAGGAGTCGCATGTTCTCCAGCCTCACTGAATTTGATTCCGAACTCCACAAACACTAAGTATGCACAAGTGTTCAATTGCACGCAATCACTCCAAATCTGTCCTCTGTAGATGTAATGCGCTGTAGTCATCGCCCCTCGAGCTACAGCAACATTACTGCGAAAGTTGGTGCTAATGCTCCGTTTAAAAAATACGCGACGCTCAAGGGGACGGCCCGTGAGGTCAAGAAAACCTTTAGGTCTTTTTATATTTACATGTTGAAGGAAAGAAACCTACGTCACAAAAGTCTCACGAGGAGATTAATTGAAAATTTTTAAATTTTCAATGATTCGCAGTAACGAAGATATAAGCTTCTGAAATGTCCACGCCATGTCCAACTACTTCTCGAGTCGCACAGGATCGCTCCACTGTACGCCGCGCTGTTCCATCCGAACAGTAGCGTGGCGTGAACGATCAATTATCGATATTTCCCCATTTAAAGCTGTAGTAAAGAATCGATTAGTAAGGTGTTCGTTGCGAACACCCTGTTAATCGATTTTTTCCACTAGTTTATATGGTAGATCGATCGATGTATCGCAAAGCACGCCACGCCACTGGATCCAAAGTCATCGACTTCTACGTTCACACGATATAGTTCAGCACGAAAGCTCGCATGCATTGAATCCAGTCAAAAGAGCTTGGGAAACTTGAACAAGGTTGCCAGATTTTGCGATAAAATGTGGACATTTTATGCGCGGTTAAATTGGGGGGAAATACTGTTGATTGTACAGCATCGTCTGGCAACAATGTTAAAAAAAGACACGTTAGTGGCAAATGTCTCAAGGCCAATATAACGGTGATATAGTTTGCGCGTACATTGTCGTTCTTTTGTTACTTATTTATTTTCGATGTCCAAAAATTCAAAATAATTTGACATTTAAATCACTGCATTGAAAAATTACAGGATAACGCCCGAAAATTTCAAATCAAACCGACATTATGATTTTTGACGGTCTAAAATTAAAATGTCAAGAAATGCAAATTCTAGAAAAAGCTCCTTTTATAATTTGATCTGCTTCAATCGGGGCTGAAAATTCTAGGATGGAATACAACTTCCGCCTCAACTACTGTGAACATCATCTAAACCACTCATAGCGTATTTTTAGGGACACAGAAGAAAATTTACCGTCAAGAACACAAATTTCGATTTTTTAACTCGAGCAGACA